TTCCAAGTATTATTAAGTTCTTAGCTGTGAGTAATATTGAAAAAATTGTTAAAAGCTTTGTTCAATATGGTTTTGATAGTTTTTGATTTGTTTATTTTGTATAAAGGCTATGTTATTAATCAACTAATTATTTTTTATCAAAGACCTACCTTCTTTCTCTTCTTTTAATATATAAATAGTCAGATTCTTTATATATAATTTCAATTGTTTTTATTCTTTTTTCTTCTAAAAAATCATCTGATTTTTGACACTTTTCTAAGTTTTTATTAATAAATAGTTCTTATTTGAAGTTGTTGTATATTAATTTTAGATATATTAATTTTAAGTTCAAGTGATACTATTGAATAATTAGTTAAGATAAATAGATTTAGTAAGATGTCAGTATAGTCTAAAAGTGTGATATAAATATTAGTTTATATTTGATCAATTCTACTATAACTGTTATTGTGTATATAGGAAAAAATAGAAGCTACAGAAAAGAAGAGTCTGTAAATATTATTAAATTAAAGAAATTTAAAAAGTTTTAAAAGAAAGTGTTCAAGTATATTTAAACTTTTTTTGTAATAATTTATTTAGTTTTGGATTTGAAATTCTATTTAGGTCTTTTATTAAGTTTGTTTTATAGTTAGTTTTATTAAGAATAGAAATAAGATATAAAAGAATAGTTTTTTAAAGTTGGTTTTTTTTTAAGTTAGAAAGTATAATTAGATTAGTTTAATATAAAGATTTTTAAAAAAGATGTCAATTTCTAAAAGAAAATTTTTATAAGTCTAAATTTTTCCAATATACTTTATAATTGATTTGTAAATTAATATTCTTATACTATCTTAGTGAGCATTGTTTGGTGTTCAAAAGCATTTATAGTTTGTAAGTTTTTGTAATGAAATTGAAAATTTTGCTTCTTTGTTAGATAAATAGATTTTTGAAATTTTAAAAATATCTATTTGATTTTCTAAATAAAATCAATTAAGCTTAGTTGTTTGAATTTATCTAGAAGACTATAACATTTAATAAATATATTTTGATTAATTTTGTAGTATTTGAATTTTTTAATGATAAGGTATTATTATTTGTATATACTAAAAAAAAAGTAATTTAGAGTTTAAAAGTATAAAATTGAAAAGAAGTTTTGGCATTTTAAAAGAAATAGTACTTTAAATTTTGTTAAAAAATAATTTGTTTTGAGTGAAATATTTTGAAAATTTGAAAAATTTTTAAAAGAAATATAGGTAAAGTTGATTAAGAGATTAGTTTCTTATAGAAGATAAATATAAACTTCTTCTTATATATTATTTTTAGTTGTTTTAATAGAGATTTTAATATAATACTCTAAATAGTATGCTGGATATTTATTTTAAATAAATTTTAAAAAGAAGCTTATAGATTGTACTAAGAATAGAAGTTGTAGATTATAAAATAAGAGAAATATATTAAAGGATTGTATATATTTAGCAGATCAGGAATTTGAGCATATGTTTTTTCTTTAATAGTTTTAGTAGTTGATAAATTGATGGTATTATTTATATTATCTACTAATGATTCATAGTTATTATTAATAGTTTTTAGATTTATTAAAATATTGATAAAAATGTTAAATATTTGTAATTTTTTTGAAGTAGTAGCAAGAAAGTTCTCTAAAAGAAGATTCTTAGAAGAATGTGATAAATTGTTATTTAAGAAATTAAATTTTCTTCTATAAATATGCTCATCATATACTTGGTTTTCATAGTTGCAAAGGATACTATAGTCTGTTCTATATATTGGATTTGACTGTTATTAACTTAGTTCTTTATATAAATAGGCTTTTTTGTCTACCTATTTACATCATTCTCTTCTAAAAATAATACACTTTTAGTAAAAGACATTATTATTTTAAAAATGATAGCTGATTTGACTTATTATTATTTTTTTGTATTTTAGATCTTTGACTATTTAACTAACTATTTTTTTTATTTTTTTACAGACTAGTAACTTTTTTATTTTGCTATTTAGCTGAATTTTTAATAACCTTATAATTTTGTTTTTTAGTTTTTCTATTATTTTATTTTAATTAAAGATTTTTTTTTTAAATTTCATGTTTATTATTATAAGCTTTGATTTAAATCTGTTTATTTTAATATTATTAGTTATAAAAAACTTTTACATTTTAAAAATTTTTAACAATTGCTTTTTGTTATTTACAATCTATATTATATTATTTGTATATATAATTGTTACTTGTTTATGTTTTATAATATTAACATTGCACATTCTTTTTAACATTTTCTGTTTTACTGTATACCTTAGTACTTTATTTTTTTGAATTTTTTTTAATAATAAATCATAGAAAAGACATTAAATTAGAGATAATATTACCTTTTTTGGTATATTTTATCTTTTATTATTATTTTTTCTATTAAATTATAAGCTGTAATAACTTTAAGTTGCTATTTACAAAAAAGGTTAATAATTATTCACTTTTACTTTACTATTAAAATATAAATGCAGTTAAAATACAAATCTCTTTAAATACTAACAAATAAAAAATTGTTAAACAACTACTTTATTAAAACTGCTCTTATTGCTTATATTACAAAGAAAAACCAAAAAATTATTAAACTTTAATATACTCTTATTATTACTTTTATTAAATGTTATATTAATATTTAAGACCAAATTTACTTTACTATTATTAATAGCAAAGTTTTTGTTATATGATTTTTTATCAAACAGTAAAAGAATTAAGACTAAAAATAAAAAAATTATCCAAGAGCATTATTATTATTACTACTGTCATGATCTAAAAAAGGATCATCAATATTTCATTTAAATTAGATCACATAAGCAAATATTAATATACAGTAATTATTAGATATAACACATATACAGAACGTAATTAGCAGATGCAGCGTAATTAGCGTAATTAGTAGATTTAGTGCAATTAGTGTAATTAATAGATATAGCAAATATAGCGTATTTAGTATAATTAGTGTAATTAGCATAAATAGCGTAATTAGTATAATTAGCATAGATAGCATAATTAGTGTAATTAGTGTATAGAGAAAAGTATATAAGTAATGTGTCGGTAATGTAAGAAAAGCAAGTCTCGGAGGTCTTACAGTATAGTCAATAAAGAGATATTTACCCTTAGTACTCGCCCAAATCTCACGCCTCTTTTGAGTACTAATTCGTTTGACGTTACGTGAGAGACATTCGTCTACCCTATGAATAGGGAGTTTTAGAGTCTATAAGTTCTGTAGTACAACACTACTAATACTATCTCTAAACTATTAAAAATTATTAGAAACCTGCCTATTAGAGTACAAAAACAGCTTATTTTTCTAGATATTAAAGTTGTATTTACTACTTTTTATTTACTTTTACTATATATATTCTTTTACTTTTTTGTAGTATTTTAACTTTTTTTGAAAATCTATTTTAAGCTTTTTAATAGAACTAAGTTAAATATCTTTTTTATATTTTTTGAAAATATTTATATTTTTTTGTTTTTTTTTGTATTTTTTCTATTATTATATTTAATTTATATATTAGTTACTTTGTTGAGTTGATTATTAAATCTTTATAGTTTAATTCTTTAAGTATTTCTCTTTTTACAAATTTCTTGGCTAACTTTTTTGTTACTACTTTGTAATTACTTTTTGAAAGTTTCAATTAGTACTATTGATTTAATGTTATTTAGACTATATCTTTAATTTACATTTTTGAAATCAAGTATTTTTTTGCTATTTTTCACTTCTTTAATATTTTTCTTTTTTTTAAAACCAGATTTACAAAGGTTCTAAAAATTTTTTGTATTTTTTTTTTGACTACTTTATTAATATATAACTTATATCTAATATTTTTAAAGCTTTATCAGCTTTGAATTCTCTTAATATGTTTTTTTATTCTTTTTTCTTTATATTCTCTTTTAGTTTTTATACTAACTTTTATTAATTTATTTCTTGGATTGTGTATTTCTTTTCATTCTTAAGTCATTTTTTCTAGCTTAGTTTTTTTTTTCTGAATTAGTTTTTTAAGTATTTTGTCAAACCATTTTAAAACTGCATTTGATTCTATTATTAAGTTAACTTCTTTTTTATTTTATATTATAAATTTATTAAGAATTATTTTTTGTATAATCTGTTTAGCAGACTAGCAATTATTTGTTCTTAATCTATTTTAATTATTTCACATCTTCTGTTTATGTTTTCTTTTATTTGTTTTCCCTATACTTATTCTTATTTTTTTTTCTCTTCTTTTAATTATTTTTTGTCAACTTTTTAGGTCATTTATGCAGATTTAGTAGCATTACTTCTATCTTCTTTCTTATAACTTTGAGTTTATTGTTTATTTTAATTCTTTCTTTCTTTTTCATTTCTTAATTCTTTTTTATTTTTGTTCTTTTGATTATTTGTTGCAATTCAATAATATATTTATACTACTATATTTTTTTTTAGTCTTGTCTTCTGTTTGCCTTTGTGTTAAATATCTTTTTTTAAAATTTGTTTGTTTGTTACTTTAATTATAACTTCTTCTATTATATCTCACATATAGATTAACATATTTGTATTGCATTTTGTATTTCCTTTATCATTTTTTAGTATTTTATTACTCTTTTTTACTCTAGCTGATTTTGCAACTCTTTTGCATATTTTTTCCAATTTCTTGTTTTGTTTCTTCATAAAAATATATTGATTTTTTATTTAATTTCTACACTATTGCAATTCGCATTTACATGTTCTATTTATATTTCTGTCATTATTATCTTATAGTTACTATTTGTTAAACTTTTTGTTTCTTTTATATTAGCTTTCTAAAAACCTTATAGGAGTGTTTCTAATAGCCAAACATAGTTAATTCTTGTTGCTACTTCATAACTTTACTATATATATGCCTTTTTTTATCGAATATAAGTTTCTGTACAATATTATAAAATTTTGTTTTTTAAGACAGTTAAATATTGGTAATCTTTTATAACTTATTGTTTGCAGTAGAATTTCAAATATCAAGCAGTTTTTTTATTAACAATATAAATAATAGTATTGAGTTGAATAATTGTAAGCTAATATATTTAATTGACTTCACGTTACAATATTAATAAATTTAAGTTAATAATAAACATTAAAATTTTTATTCTTCCATATAATCCTTGTTTTCTGCCCATTCTTCCATATCGATCTTTTTCCTTTTTCTCATTCTACCATCACCGCCTTCAATATCTGCAATAAATTCTTTACCAATCTTCTCTCTCAACTCTTCAACATTCTTATCATCATCCGCATATTCAAGAATGAGATGTCTACCTAATAAGTGTGTATTTTGTAATTGCTCCATCACATTCCTTGCATCTCTTTTTGTTAAGAATTCTATAAATGCGAATCCGCGAGATGTACCATCGAATTTTTTTGGTAGACGAAGTGTTTTAATTTGACCGTATGTACTATAATATAATAATATGACGAACATTAATGAATTTTGACGAAATCAATTTGATATTAAAACTATTGATAGGAATAGAATTAATAGAACTTTTTAATTTACCCAAATAATTCTTTCAACTCTTTTTTTGTTGTCTCAAAAGCGACATTCTTAATGATAATTTTTGTGGATTCCTGTTTTTTTTTCATCATTTCATCCTCTTTTCGCTTTCTTTGTATAGTGTCTAATCCACGATTTGAAAATTTTAATTGTAACGCATGACCATCTAACATATACCCCTAAAATGTAATTTAATATTAAATAAGTTAATGGATTAATAAATAAATAACAATAACCATGTGAACGAAATTTTATACCTGCATTGATTTTAAAGCATTTTTTGCATTTTTCATATTATCATATTCAACAAACCCAAATCCCATACTCAACTTTTTACCAGGATTTTTAGGATCATTTTTCAATTTTATTTTAGCAGATTTCATGCCAGAAGTATTCTTGAATAATTTTTTTAGCTCTTCCTCGGTTGTATCAAAATTTATGTTTTTAACAAACAATGTAGCAGTTACTTCAGATGATTCATCATCATCATTTATAGTTGTTTCAATTATATCTGTTGAAGAAAGTACTTTTTTAGCATCATCATCGGTTGGCTTTGAGCTTGTATCAGTTTCACTTTTGAAAATATCTGCCGGTGCTTTTTCCAAATATAGAGGAACTCCTTTAAATTTTTTATATGCAAGATTTGTGAATGCATTTCGGGCTTCTGAAGGATGTAAAAATTCTATTAAGGCTATTGTTTGAGCCGGTGGAATTATTAACTATAATTTTAACGGTTAGCCACTTTTTATGTTATATATATATGTATATATTTTTTGAATTGAATTTAAATCATATATAATAGATTGGAATTAAAACAATAACTTACACGTCCAATTTCTCCATACCATCCAAATAATTGTTGCAATTCCTCTTTCGTCACACCAAATGAAATATTCTTTACTAAAATAATAGTATCACTTTTCTCTTTTTTTCCAAAAGAACTTAAGGAAATTCCATTCTTTAAATAATAAAATAAAATCAATACACTTTTTAATAATGTAATTGAAACGTATAAGATGTAAACATACCATTTCAAGAAATGCTTTTGTTTCTTGGATGATATGAGTTTCTGCAAGAGCAAGTTTTGCAGCCATGTTGTCAGATTCAGGATCCAAAATTTCCGATTTTTTTACATTAAATCGATGTGCTATTGACTCTGCGATTGCATCACTCTGAATAAAAATAATGAATTTAGGTTGTTCACATGTTAACTATCATTTAATAGAATAAAATATACATATTTTATTCTTACATTCATATATAGCATACTCCAATTGAAGTCATTATTAGCTAAGTTTTTCTGATTCATCTCTTTTTTTTTTTTTAAACTCCACCTGCCAGGATTCAAATCACGAACTTGAGGTTTATCTCTAGAAGGTAAAATATGTAATAATCTTCCCATGAAGAATTTATTATCTAACTCAATATAAGCTTTTACGGCGTGTTCAGGAATATGATATAAAACATAAGCAAAGCCTTTTTGGTTCTTTGTTTCCTTGTCGAGTGGAATGTGCACCTTTTATCGAACCCATTCATGTTAGAATAAATATTTAAAATATATTTCAAAGTATAAATAAATAACTAAATAAATAAGTATATATATGTATATGATAAAGCATGAATATATAAAACTTACTTCAGCAAGCGGGCCAAATTTATTAAATGCTTTTCGCAAGTCCTCTTCTGAACATATATATGGCAAATTTCTAACAAATAATCTACCAGTTTCACCAATGGATTCTTCAGGAGGAACCTCTGTAGGTCTACCAGATAGATTAGCATTTGCCTCATTATTATAATTGACATTTTCTTTGGAATCATCATTTTCTGGTGATGGATTAGTATAAATTTTATTATTTTCATCATCGTTATTAAAATCGACTTTTGAAAAGTTTTTACTCTAAATATATGCACACAAATTTATTAAATAATAATCTTTAAATAAGAGTTAAATAAAATAGCAAGCGCAATTCACCTTGCAAACATCAACATCATTATTATCATCATCACTGTCATCTATATCTAACCTTCTCCTCATTTTCATTCTAATCCATTCTATATCAGATACAGATGATTCCTTACTCAGTTCAACAACTTTTTCACGAGATAATTTATCTTTTTGATTCTTTTCTGAATTATTCGATTCATTTGTATCATTTTTAATTACTATATCGGTTTTATTTGGTAAATCTTGATAAAGTTCATCATCAGAATCATTAGTAATAAAGTGTTTTGAACTCTGTTGAGATTCCAAAATTGTTAAATCATCATTTGCCCAAGTTTTAGATTTTGATCTTGGTTTCATAACTTCTAAAAATTCTTCAAGCTTTTCATTATTAAGATCATTATTAAGATCATCATTTTTAACTTTTTTTTTTTTTATTTCCACACTATTAGCCTCTGATTTCTGAAAATGTTTTTTCTGATAACTTGATGAACCAACACTATGAGCACTCCAAGGCCTCGATAGCGTTGGATCACTAACCTTGATTAATGAATTAATATTCGAATAAAATAATTATAATAATATTAATAATAATAAATGAATTGATATGAAATTTTTTAGTAAATAAATGTTTAAGGAATATTTAAACCTACAGGCTTGGCATGTTCAACAGTGATCCTTGAAGTAAAAATAAAAGTATTATTAAAATAATTTAAAGCGTCATTGGCTTCATTTTCCATGCGATATCCGATAAATCCAAAACATCGAGATTTTCCATCACTAAATAATTAATTCATTAGATTTTAAAATGAAATTAATATATAATTAAATAAAATTAAAAAAAAACTTGAATAGTTACGCAGTTCGCATAATCTTTGCATCTGTAACTTGTCCTTTTGTAGAAAAATGATCACGAAATTTTTTATCAGTTAAATTTGCGGGAAGACCTTTAACAATTAAGCGAGACCTGTTTAATTTATTAGTTTAAATTAAAGTAATTAAAGTATAAAAATCCAATACATTAAAAAGGATTTACTCACATCTTAGAACGAAAAAAATTGAGGTAATCTGATCTGATCTACAAGTCTACCATATAACGGTTTTTTAAATGAGAATCATGTGATTAGTACGATTTGAACCGAAAAAATTTTTTTTAATCGGTTAACCGAACCGAAATATTTTACGCCAACCGGTTAAGATTACTTCATACTTTACATTCGGAAAGTCTCGGACCTTTACTTTCTTTTCGGAATTCTTGCTCATTCCTCCCGATTAGCGATTCTCAACCGCATATTAATTCATTTCAAAATTACTTTAGGTCATCGCTTATATCAAGGCATCCTCTCACACAGTGCTTCGCTGCTAAGAAATCCCAATTCTAAAGAATATATTGTGGTATTTCCTTATGCACATTGTCAACCGATTAAGAATTTACTCAACCGGATACCCGAAATTTATTCGGTTCGGGTCGGTTAACCGATTATAGCTCAACCGGTTCAAATCACTAATTTAACGATGGTTCTATTCAAATTTCCAAACGTATATGCAGTGTTATCAGTAAGTCATGTCATGCACTTTTGTACATCAAGTTGATATTTTTGGCAAGTATCGATAATTGAAGTTGCAATAGTATCAGTATTATATTTTTTAATAATTTTTAAATTAATTATACTTGTTACAGGATAATTTTGATCATTATCCCAATACATAAAATAGATAATTAGGTTCTTATCTTGGTCACAGGTTGCTCATCTGCAGTAATGTTGAATGTGCTTGATTGTTGAGCATGTTTAGCAAATTAGAAACTGCTAACTTCAAGATTTGCTTATGTTAGGTTGTAATTCATTCTATTGAAAATCAACTTTTTGGTGATTCACCTATTAAAAATTCATATATCAATTTTGTATATTTTATAGTTATGGTAACAAGTAAACTCTCCCTTGTAGATCTCCCGACCGAAATTTACAGGAAGCAAAAACACAAAATAACATTAAAACACACAATTAAAAAGTACTTAGAGCACTAAGGAAAAGATAAGAAAATACAGAAATACAGCTGACTAACTTGGAAACAAGAAATAAACCAGAGCAGCAACAAGCAATAGCAAGAAAACCAATCTTCGGCAAGTCCGAGTAAACAAAATCAACATATAGAAGTAAAACAGAACAAATTAAATAGACTTACACCAGGCTATTAAAGGAAAAGATTTAGCACAAAGAAGCACAAGCTTTTTATTAATACAATAATATAGATATAGTATTCTTCAGCAAGGTCCTTAATTAGGTTTAACTCAGCTTAAAAGTTTATAAAATTTGTTTTGCTTTTTGGAAAAAGTGTAAAATCACTTTAGACCCTGAAAACAAACAGACAGAACACGTGGCCAGCTGACAGCAAAACAACAATAAACACAGTATACTACAAACATGATGATATTACTCTGATTAGGAAATAGTAGATAAAAGCCTTACGTGTACTGTTAAACAAATGAATAAACAACAAACTAATATAGAAATAGAAGTACAATGCAGATTAGGCCTTCCAGGTGACACAGAATTAATTCAACATATAAGAGGTTTTGGCAATAGAAATAGAAGATACATAGACAGCAGAATATTAGATGAAATCTTATCTAAACGAATAGATAACCCAAGTAATTTAGAATATATAGCGAAAGATCTTGCAATTTATGATCCAAAAAACATCACAATAGGTGATGTACTTCTTTATGGGCAAGTACTTGAAGCACTCAAAAGAGCAGAGAACTTCTTGATACCTAGAAGCACGATAAAAGAATGGGCAAGTAAGCTTTTAGTAGTAGACCAGAACCCAAAATCATTCAATCATTTGCTGAACATGAAAAGTGAAGAAATACTGAAAGAGAAAGCAAAAATGGAAGGAATAAAAAGAGATGAGAATACTAAGAACATGAATATAGTTTACTCTGGAAAAAAGAGACAACAATACAAAACGATCAGTGAGGAAGAAGCCAACACAAACTTAAGTAGAGTCATCAACCAAATGCAAGATCTTCACATATCAACATCATCATATCAGAAACCAGTCAAACACCTAAATGAAGAAATTAAAAAGTCAGCAATAACAGTAGATTTAGACAAAAATAACATAAAAGAGAAGAAAGCTAAAAAGAGTCAAGAGAGTACATCAGTTTTTTTATACCAAATAGAAAGAGAAAAAGTATTAGAACAAGACCAAAAGAATATAGATTTGATAACTAAGGATAAGAATGAAATACCAATACTTTTAGACACAATAGAACAAAACCAGTGGTCTCCAACAACTCATATATGTGACAAGAGCAGATTATTTAAAGCGAACATGCCAGCATATGCAATGCCAGGAGCAAATAAAGAAAAAAGATTAAAATACACACAATGGATCCTATATGGCAATCATTACATCAAAACAATTAAAGAGATCTTTAAAAATAGAAACAGTTGGATTGAGGTAAATTTCGACTGTGAATTCAGCAGAGATGCAGCAATGGATAGAATCAAAGAAAAAGAGGGAGATTAGCTAAAACTTATTCCTGAAGAAGAATCAAAAAGCCAAGAAAAGAAATGGAGTGGCCAAACAGTAAACAACAACGGAAAAGACAAGAATAAACTTAAAGAATACAAGAAACTCAGTGGAAAAAGAGATGATAAAAATGCATACCTAGCAGAAGATGAATCAGAGCCATATATATACCTAACAATATAGGACCTATCAGCAAACATCAATGCAGAAGAAATAGAATACATGTGTAGGAATTTTAAAAAAACTCAAATAAAATGCATCAGAAGATCCAAATATAAAGCTTTGGTTATAGTCAGGATAAAAAACATAGAAGAAGAAAACATACCATGGTCTTTACCAATCGGCATACACAAACTGGCAAGAGTAAGCATTGGTGAAGAAGACTTTAATAAACGCAATTCACAAAATCGATTTACAGCAAGAAGTATTATTATTATGATACTTGAAAAAAAGAGAAGCAAAATCAATATATATTCCATTTAACAGAAATAGAAATCAGAGAAGATCAGCAACAATAATATTCGCAACAGAGAAAGAAATGAATGCAGCACAAACAAAGCCAATAAGATTCAACAATCACCTACTATTTTGGTCGAATTATGTTGAAAGG